TCTCTCTCTCTCTCTCTCTCTCTCTCTCTCTCTCTCTCTCTCTCTCTTGTCTCCTGCGAACGCTACGTGCTTTTTTCTCCCTACCCCTCATATGTACGAGCGAGCGCTCTTCAATCTTATTTTTAACCCGCCGCCTCTTCCTTTTGTTTTTCTCACCAAGGCCTGTGCCGTTCTCTCTCCCCCCTTCCGCGACTACGACTGTAACCATGCACCGATTAACCCTTTTGCGCGACGCCGATGTCGCTGGCACTACTCATACCGATGGGTCACGCGCTAATGAGGGGCGACCGAGGTCGAAAAAGCCTAAATACGACGGTATGTTGCATAATGCAGCACATCCTACGGGGATGTATCACTAATACCAGAGGAACTATTATAGATCTGTTCGAAACAGATCGGAATAATTGCGTTATTCGAGAACTAAATTGATAGAGCCTTTAAGAGCCAAGCACAGATAGGTTTAGTGCTATAAAAGAAATAAAATGTTGTTTAATCGATAGACATGAATTATGAAATTTTCAGACGTTATTAATTTGTAACTTCGTTATTTCCTAGATTTTTACACTGAGGGAAAAATTACCTTAAAATCAACAAATATCTTTTTGATGGGTGCCATTAACATATTTATTTAAATCTAAATTCTCTTTATTTAAACCAAATATTATTTACTTAAATCAGGTAAACAATATTTGATTTAAATAAAGAGAATTTAGATTTAAGTAAAATATGTTAATGGCATCCATCAAAGAAATATTTGTTGATTTTAAGGTAATTTTTCCCTCAGTGTATACTGAGAGAAAAGAGAATGATGTAACTAAAATTACAGTTTTTTTATCCCAACCATATTTTTTTGTGGTAAGATGATAACATGCAAGCAAGGTTACTATCACTGATATGACAGTAGAGTTTAATTTAAAATAATGATTTTCTTTCATATCTTGCAGTAATTATTTTTCTGTGTGATTATAGTTGCAAACATTAAATATGCTTTTCCTCAGTGTATTGTGTTTTCTAGGGAAAACAGAATTATTCCGATTGGAATCCATTTAGGACAAGCGCATAATAGCACTTCAGATTTGAGAAGTGAAGCGTAATAAGTTATTTTTTTTTTCAATAATGACTTGGCGACGGTTTTTTTCTTTTTCACTAATAACGAATACGGCTCACACAGTTACGTTTGTCAGGTTACGGTAACGAACATAACGATTACTTTTAGCGTTCTTTTGCATATATATATGAGAGTAAACAGTATATGAGATAGATGGGCTGCAGCGAGTCGTAAAAAAAGCGGTCTTTGAAATCTCGTGATAAAAGTAACGAAAATTGCAACGATTCTTTAATCATCGAGTAACGATGACGAGTAACGTTAACGAGTTACGTTATCGTGTTCCTTTGGTGGTGAACGTGCATTTTTATTTTTTCGTCTCTTTGTTTAACTGAGATCTAAAATAACTTCTTTTTTCTCTCTCTAGTCTGAATACGGGATGCTTCAAAAAAAACTGTTAACACTTATATGGAAGCAACTTTTTCTCCATGCAAGTTTTTCTAAAGCAAATTCTCCACATAAGTGATAACATTTTTTTTTGTTTGAAGCACCCCGTAATAGCAAATTTTACGAATTTTTTCGCAATCGATCATCTATTATTCGCGCGTTAAAAGCTCGTGGTTCTTATACACGGTCTCGCGCAGCTGACATCGCGATTAATTAAATTTGCAGTTCAGTAGCAATGAATCATAGTTCAGAGACTCGCGAGAGCTCGAGCGAGAATTCCGCTTCCACGCACCAATTGCGACAGAGCAAAGTAGGACGCTGCCGAAAAAAAGGAAACGAAAAAAAAACGAAAAAAAAAGAAACAAAGAGATATAGAATGGTTTGCGTTCTCGTTTTTTGTTTCTTTCTTTTCAGAAAAAGAAAATGTATCCGGGTCTCTCCTGAAAAATATATTGGCGCATGTTGACACCCCTTCCTCCCCTCACCCTCCCCCCTCCGGAGCGGCTAACGACGATCACGTTCGCGTCGTAACTTTCGTCGTGATCCGACTGCACCGCGACGCTCGTGCTTTAAATGTTTAACGGAAACGGTACGTGAGCGCAAAACATTGTCTCCGCAACGCCTGGAAGATTTTTAATTGCAGCCTGTCGCACAATTTGTTCCCATCGCGTTCAATTGGCTCATTGACATCGACGCTACGTGCCACGATGTCAAATCGCGCGGAAGTGTGTCTTATCGCGCGCGCGCGAAGCTTATCAATCGCGGCCTTTTCAAACAGCTGGAAAAATCGCTCCGCTACGCGTCGCCATTTTCTCATGAACAACGGTCGATCGTTACTGTTTCTAACGGATTTATGCTAATGCAACCGCGCCCTTTCCCGTCTCTCACACGGCGATCTTTCCCGTTCGATGTTGCAGGAGAAGATAGAGTACGTTTTTCTTGTGATTTTTACGGTGGAATGCGTGATGAAGATCATAGCTTACGGCTTCGTCGCCCATCCGGGGGCTTATCTCCGCAACGGCTGGAACCTGCTGGATTTCACGATAGTCGTGATCGGGTGAGTACGTCAATCTTAAAAAATCTCCACATTTTATTGTCCCCCGCCCGCAGGTGACGAGACCGCGGCTTTTTTCCCCGGCCGAACTTTAACTCGCGAAAACTGATGTATAAATTCACTGTGGCGCTCCCGACGCGAAATTAAATAAACGGACGAAATTTTCACGCGACTCTTATTCCGCGGTATACCTCGGCCGCGCTTGAACTCGCGAAATAAATTCGTCAGCGGAAATTTGTCTAAGTTAAACAGAGAGAACGCATATGATAAAATCGGCGATATCATTATTTTATTCCGACATTTTGATTCTACTTTCGACCTTAATATCTCATTTAACGTTTATTTCGATATTTTGAAATCTATATTAATCTCTTTTGATTCTATTTAACTTATTAAGTTTGACGAAACGTCCCTTTCAGGATGAAGTATTTTGTGCGTTTTTTGCTTTTTAGAGACGCTAAATAGAATTTTAGTTTCTATATTATATATACACTGATCCTTCAGAATATACGGATGTTAGAAAGTCCAAAGTAAAGCTAAGACTTCGACTTGAGAGCGTATAATTCTGAATCAAAATTTTGATCCTACTTTTAACTTCAATATTTCATTAAAGCGTGCATCAACTTATTTTGATTCTACTTTAACTAACTAACTAACTTTGCCGAGAAGTCTTCTTCGGAATCTACAAGTGGCATTTTGTGCATTATCTGCCATTAGGCGCTAAGTGGGATTTCAATTTCTATGTTTATTAAATGTGCACTGATCTTTCATAATATGTGTAAATGTTGGAAAATTCGTCTCCAACGTAAAAAAATTTCGACTTGGGATCCCCGGAGGAAAAGTTTCGCTTTTTCTCGTCATTTCTTCCGCGATACTCGTCGCTTGAATTTTTTAACGCGCGGAGAAGATTACTTAGGAAGCGAAGGAAAGAAAAAGAGAAACGCGCCCTCATCGTGCCCCAATAATATCCGAGGCCCTTTTATAATAAACACCTTCTCCCGCCTTGGGATTCTTCGACTGGCGAGCGTCAGTTGAGATAACATCCGACAGCCTATATCGATTGCAAGTTAATTGGACCAATGCCGGCGTAATCGATAATGCGTGGCGATCGTATACACTTTGGCGGTAGTAGTTTGCACCTGATGATGTCTTCCCAGCGTGCACACAATGTTGGCGACGTTCACCAATGGAACGCCCAAACGCGTGAATGGTACCGACAAGTCGTGTCGTTTCGTTACGCTAATTCTCGAGCGACCACGTAGATGTAACGTTAAATTCGACGAGGAAAATGAGGGGGCGCGCAAATTATTCTTCTTGCAATAAATATAAAAATTGAAAAAGAAAATAGGTGTGGATAACTACGGATGAATATACTGCGAACCATGAGACGATTCAATGTTACCAAGCGCGATAAATTCAACAACCCGAGTCGAAATTTTGATGCTACTTTGATGCTCTTAGCCGGTTCACTGGTAAGCACACATATATGTAGGAAAAAAAGTGCCACAACTGATAAGCACACATATACAGGGTTGGGAAAAAGTCCGGAAATGGTCAAATATCTCGAAAAGGATCAACTGTAGCGAAAAATATGTAAGTAGCAAAGTTGTAGGGCTTAATAAAATGTACCTAATGATGGCTAAAAATTTAACTTTGGGTGGAGGACGAAGGTCATACGAAGGTCAAATTGAATTTTTTAATTTGGACCCCCCACTTTTTATTACATATTCTTGTAGCTTATTTCAAGGACTTTCCAAAAACCTATAATAAAGTATTTTTTTATTAGACATATTTAGAGTTATGAGGCTTGAAAGGATTTTGGTCTTTAACTGTTTCTGTTTCGTAAAAACGTATCACTGTCTTCTGAACGGTGGATTTAGAAATAAAATTGCGATCAGGATATGCAGCATTGAAGGTGTAGATCAGTTATTTCTTCGTATGATCTAATATAGTCTCCAAATTTTCGATAAAGAAACAGCATTATCTTTTCTTTATTGGTTAACATTTTTAAAAAAGAAATTTGAAATTGTAGTTGGAAAAAGAAAGGGAAAAGACAAAGAGTAAGATGCGAGAGAGCACGACTCGTTTTTAAAATACAAAGATCGAGAAGCGTTATCGTGAAGCGCGGGTAT